TATCTTCCGTATGCTGTGTCACCCTGATGAAGGGCAACTCCTTTCCCACAGGTAACAGTATTTCATCCTCAATGCTAATGGAAAAAAAAAAAAAAAAAAGGCACAACCTTCCAAACCAACCAACAAAAAAACTAATGAAAACCCTGTGGTACAACACTCGATTGTAATACCAAAATAGGTCCTCACAGTGTCACCACTCTCACCATCCAGCCCCTATCTGAGTTTCAGCCTGTACTGAACTTGTACTCGGTACTGCTCTGGCCATGGCTGCCGTAGAATGTACATACAAAGAGCTTTGCAAAGGAAACTGTCAACCTGTGTGCCTTACATTAATTATAACATCTTGTGATGTGTTGTCTGCATGCATATTTAATGACCTTTGCAGCTGAGATTCTGTGGCCAAGAGGAAAATGGGGACTAAAAACCTGAAGGGAAACTGCGGATTGAGACTCCTACAGATGTCTGTATACAAACGATATAAACCATGATGGGGAAATAGGGGTACCTACTTACTCCAAGTGTTATTTTAATATTCAAGATTGACCATATGTGCATCCATAGTAGGCTGTAGGTATAAACATTCTGTGCAAGATACTTCATTATTTTAAGAGGAAATAGGTGATTTTCAAGACTGAAGGTTTTGACAAACTTATGAACAATAGGCAGATGGTATTTATTAAAATTTTATATGTTAAATCTAATGTTTTTTGAAAATACACTGAAATTGAAAAATGTGATGCTATCAATCTAGCTTAATTATCAGTTGTAAAGATTGTATAGAAACAAATTAAAAGCTTAAGTTTATAAGGTCATCATTATGAAAAGAATCCACAAGGTCATACTTTCACAGCCCAGCACTGCCAAGTACAATGTTCTTCCAATGACAACAGTAATTTGCATAATTATTTCTTACTATCAAAACAATCTTAAGTTATCATAAAATCAAAATTAGTCATTAAAAAGATATAGTACTGTAACTTGCTTAATGCAGCTTTGTGTTGTATTAACTATTTACTATCTGCTGATAGTACAGTTTCACAAAAACTAGTAATCAGTAATTTTTTGAGCAGTGTTTGTCTGAAAGGGATACCATATTTAACAAGGTATGCTCTACTGACCCTGTTGATGGTTATTTCCAATCATTAAGTGAAAACTGTGTCCTTTAAGATGGTTCTGATGATGTCTAGATGTAAATTGTTGTAAAGGGTTGCTTCAAATCAACCACAATGTTGATGTGTGCAGGCAGGTAATGACAAATGGCAAAAAGATTACTTGCCTGTAACTATTCTGTTAGAAATGTTATTTTAAAAATTGCAAACAATCACTCATCCTACTTTTTTGACAGAATGCCTAGAAATCTCGTGTCCAGAGAAGGGCAACAAAGCTGGTGATGGGTCTGGAGCACAAGTCTTATGAGGAGCAGCTGAGGGAACTGGGGTTGTTTAGTCTGGAGAAGAGGAGGCTGAGAGGAGACCTTATCGCTCTATACAACTACCTGAAAGGGGGTTGTAGCGATGAGGGTGTTGGCCTCTTCTCCCAAGTAACTAGCGATAGGACAAGAGGAAATGGCTTCAAGTTGCGCCAGGGGAGGTTTAGATTGGATATTAGGAAAAATTTCTTCACTGAGAGGGTGGTCAGGCATTGGAACAGGCTGCCCAGGGAGGTGGTGGAGTCGCCATCTCTGGAAGTGTTCAAGAAACGTGTGGATGTGGCGCTTCAGGACATGGTCTAGGGGACATGGTGGCGCTGGATTAATGGTTGGACTTGATGATCTTGAAGGTCCTTTCCAACCTAGTGTTTCTGTGAATTGGGATTGTGTATTGAGATTTTCCAAGTAACCAAAAGAGAGGACCATAATATTTGTTTTTTATATACGCTTAAGCTCTGTACATGGATGTTGAGGTTTGAGGTGTGCTCTTTACAGGTGCTGAAGGCAAAAATCTCTAACAAATAGTGCTTGTGTATGTCTGTTCCCCTTGTGTGAATGTATGTATATGCCATACCTGGAAAGAGGCTTTCTTCTTTCTGGGAAATGTATCTCTCTATGTGTATGGCTGATAAGTAGGATTTTTTTACTTTATTATTTTTGACAGCCCATGTTGGAAAAGTTGCTTATTTAATGTTTTAAATACCAGCAGGTATGAGTTTTGACAACTGCATGCATGTTAACATACAGATATACATATGTTTATCGTATGTCAAATAGGAATTCAGAAGTTCAGGTCAATAAATTTAGGACCTCTGTTGTGATATTATAAAACAGAGTGTGGAGACCCACTGTTTCCCTATCCCCTTTACAGGGAAAGCTGCATGAAATGCTGATATGTTATGCTGCTGTTTTCCAGCTGACTTCAATTGTTTTGAGTCTGTTCTTGCTTAGCTTTTCTAAGCAAAGTGCAAATTATTTGCAAAGACTTATTTTCACAAACTGTAAAAATATAAGGAAGAAATTTTTCATAATGAAGGTGGTGAAACAGTGGAACAGGTTGCCCAGAGGGGTGGTAAATGCCCCATCCCTGGAAACATTCAAGGTCAGGTTGGATGAGGCTGTTGGCAACCTGATCTAGTTGGAGATGCCCCTGCTCACTGCAGGGAGGTTGGACTAGATGACCTTTAAAGGTCCCTTACAACCCAAAATTTCTATGATTCTATGATTTATATTGGTAGATCCATGTCAAAGTTCATTTTTCCTCCTCATGCAAATAGTTTGTGTTGATAAATTAGTTGTGCTTCAAAATAAACATCTGAAACAAATGTTCCCTTTTTTTTTCATTTCACTATAAATCAATAAATTGGAGATTAAGATTTGCTACTGCACAGTGGAGTGTATGATTACAATTAATTGAAGATTATTTTCTGTGTTTAAGCTTAGACTAATATTTCATTAAAAAACCTGTAGGAACTGTAGTTGTATTAATGAAGTGTGTTCTCTGGGGGATTTATACATAAATAACTAGTTTTTAATGATGCAGAGTTGACTAATCAACCAGTTTAGGCTGACATCCTCTATGGTGTCTCCAGAAAGACATGAAATGGGAAGTGATAACAGCATGTATAATCACATGACTGATGAAATTATGACCCGTTTTACCAAATCTGTTGAAGACTAAATGTAATGCCTGACTGTACTTTATTGAGCCATTTTTGACTTCTGCTACATTCAGAATTTAAATTCTTACCTTTAAAGAAGTATTGTAATCTGGTTACATTTGAAATTAAGCTTGTTTTGATAAAATTTTGCTAGTGGTAGCTTCTGAGGTTTTTTTGGTTGTTTACTTTGTCTTATGAATCAGAACTTTTTACAAAGTTAGACCTGGTCATTTTGCCCGATAAGCTTGAAGAGGAATGTTTAAATAATAGTGAAGCAGAATATATGTGGGTTTTTTCTAATGTATAGAACTGTAAGTCTAGAAAGGCTTTGCTGTTTTCGTGGTGGTGTCTGCAAAGATTTACTCCTGACTATTCTGTAATGTGTTTACCTATTGTTTTATTATCTATATCTCAATTGTGTTTAGAGCAGGACTATTCATCCTGCAGGTAAGCAATTGATTGTCCAATGGATAATTCTATTCCTGTTTTGCATCATGGGTATGAATAGCAAGATAGACTGATTGTTCTTGTCTATAGCGAGAGTCCATTCTGATCTGTGTTTTCTTGCAGTACAACGGTCTGTCACATGCAAGAGTACACATGCAGACTTCTTTCTAGGACAGTAAATGCTATCCTGAAAAGACTGGTACAGTTTATTGCTTCCCAGGAGGTAATGGCCAGGCGTGGAGGAGAAAAAAAACCACAACAAACCCCCAAAGAAAAACCCAACCAACAAACCCAAGCAACCTCCCTCCCCCAACTTTGTGGAAGGACCTTTGTCTATATAGTCTTCCATGTGCATCCATAAAGTTGCTTATTCTTTCCTAGGCAAAGTATTTTTCCCCTGTCCCTTCTGAATTGCACCATGTTTATTGCAAATTATATCTCCAATGTTTCAGTCATTCTGAAATTTAATCCTTTTCTCCAAGGTATTTCTGTCTCTCGAAGCTTGACAATATCTTTGACTGACTATAGAGCAGGCCTATTAAATTAATCTAAGTCATTAATGAAAATACTGAATGGTATGAAAGCAGTCTAAATAGGCTCAAAATACAGAATACTAATGTGAAATTCTACGTGATGGTCTTAAAATTTCATTTTTGCTAGTGAAGCTTCAATAATTGTTTCTGATACGCCTTTGCAGAAGTTATATGGAGAACAATTTTTCCTACTTGTTTATGAGATTGTCCTGAGAAATATCATCAGATTTGAGTTAGGCAGCACTTGTTATTTTTAAAATGTGTAGTTTTGATTACATTCAGTATTGAAAGGATGACTAATGTTGGCTTTAATATGCTTGCTACATTTTCAAACATCTTTGCACTTTGTTCTAGAAACATCTACCAAGCTGTTGTATTGCCTTTGTATTCATCAGTGCTTTCCAAAATACCCTTTTTCGGCATGTTGCTTCAGCAAAAAAAAAGCAACCAGCTTAAAACTGGGTAACAACTAGCTCATCTACTATAGGTTACTTTTGTTGTGGTGAATGCTATTTTTTCCTTGCCAATTTTCTTTTTGCTCTCATTTGTTTATATTAATCTCCTTATATCTTACTATTTGCTTTATTCCATATTTGTCTAGTGTGTAACATAGAAGAATCCTGGTCAACGATTCCTTCTCAAACTCAAAATACAAATAATAACAAGAACAACTAGAAGAGGGAAAAATGCAGAAAGTAAAATACAGGATAGAGTAACCATGTATTTTATATCTTGTGTTGGAATTCTTTACCATTGTAGAGGGGGAGATTCTGTGGGCTAACAGGGCTTTCTCTGGTAGTCAAGGAGATCTTTTATGCTATTCATATTTTATATAGAAATGTGATTTAATATTGTGTATATTGTTTGATAAAGCTTTAAACTGTATATCTTTAGAGTTGGAATTTTCATATTTTTCTATGATTATTCCAGGTGTTAACATCTGACCTCGAAAACAGGGAGAAGCAACAGGAAAAAATGCTGGACCAGCTAAAGGAGATACAGAATTGCTACAAGGCTTGTGAGAATGGACGTAAACAAACTGAACTCCAGTCTGCTGCGTTAGCTCAACAGGTTGAAGAGAGTAGCAAGGAAGCAGAACGGTACCTCACTGAACTCAAGCATTCAGAGGCACTCAGGCTGGAGATTGAGAAAAAAAGAGAGGATTTGAAGGTGAGAGCACAGGAAACTATCCGCCAATGGAAGTTGAAATGTAAGAAACTGGATCGTGAGGTGGAAAACCAAAATGAAACTATCAGCCAACTGATGGACAAGAACAGTCAGGTAAGACTAACTGGGGTTTTTTTTGTACTCTTTGCATTTGTTTTAGAAATGAAGATAAAGAGTTTATTTATGCAAACTGTGACTTAAACCATTTTCCACCTTAAGTTATGGGCCAAATTTTCTGGCAAACTACAAAACAGCTAATAGGTGGCAATATTTTTTAGCTGTTAAGGAGTTCCACATTCTCTTCTTTATCCAGTATTTATTCCAGTCTCTTCACTTCACAAGAAGAAAGCTTTGATTAAGAAGAAAGTTTCTCTATGAATGTTGCTTTTACACTATCTTTTCAGTTAACAGTTAACAAAACTTAGGTTATTTTTAGTTAATTTTTAAGAAAACATTGTGATGTTAATTTTTTATAAAAAATTTTAATCACATTAAGTAATAACCCATGTTCAAGTTAACACTGAGCTGAAATTAATAAACTCTGGTAAATTTAAGCTGTGATTCCTGGGGTTGCTGTTTCTCTCCTGAACTACATAGTGTATTCCTTATTTTTATTATTAATTGCTCTGTCCATGCTCCAACAATTCATTCCATAGTAATCTTGTATTGGTTAGCCCTAGCAGTTGTCTGAGGAAATAAGGTTCACAAACATTTAAGAAGTTGGTCATCTCTTGCCTAGGTAAATGGTGGCGTTAAGGAAAGAAAGAAAACCTGTTTCATTTAGAAATCATATGTGTCTCTCATAGTAGACAAATGAGAAGCAAAAAGTAGAGGAGTATTGAATAGCAAGCAGGAGGAACCCCAAAAGTCTTTGAAACCACCATTCGTGGAAATGCGTGGACAGCAGTTGATAGTGCTGTCCATGTTGACATTTTCTTTGTTATATAAGACTTGTTGACATAGATTTTACCTCTTTTTATGTGACATGCATAAAAATGCTAAATGCAGTCACTTTGGTTTAAGCTCCATTTAAGAAATGCTGTCAGTATTCATTCTACCTTTTAAAATGAAGAGCATCTTGCCAACAAATTTGACGTGTCACTCTTGAAGAAAATGTCTTCATTGGAGGCTATGTAATATCAAATAAACTATGCATCACTGTGGAGGAGAAAATACAAACAGTATTTCATGTTCTCAATACAAAGTTTTAGACAGTTTCCATATGAGGTTATAATCAATCTAGATGCAGTATTTGTGATAAGCTTCAGGGAACTAGATGAACATAATTTAACCAGCTTTGAAATATACAGACCATTAACATCTGAGACAAAACTGCATAAAAATAAATAAAGAAAAAAAAGGAGAAATGGCAGTCTGTTGTCTTTGCTTTCTCTTGTAAGACTTCAAAGGGTTGATGGGAAGTTTTCAAAATTGGATCACAATCATAGCTTGCAATTTTGAGATGTTCCAAATATTTGCAGAAAATGGGTGGGCTGTAGACAAATTGTTTATGTTTCATTTTTTAAAAGTTATTGGGATAATTTAGTTAAAGACTTGCAGATGTGGTTATCCTTGATATTGGTTAACAGTAGCACCTCTAACATCTTGTGCCTTTTTACCCTGCACACTGTTAACCTTAATTGCCTTTTTGTTCTGCATAATTTCAATAATTTTACTCTATCTATAAAAAATGTGTACTGTTTGTGGTAATAGTGAGTAGAAGTCAGTATAAAATTTATTTAAGCCAGTTCAAAGAATCCAATAGTTTGTGATACATCAGGAAAATCTCATGTTGTTCCTTTATCATTCTTTTTTTCCTGTAGTAGAAGTTGTATGTGACTTATGATAAAAGTACTGCAAATTCCTTCTTATTTTAAACCAAATGTTAAAAAAATTAAGTTATAACTTGAGATAAGTAAGAATCAGGAATGGTGTGTAACATGGGTTTAATAAAATGTAGTATTTAGTAAGAGACATATACTTGCAGTGCAAATTTTCCATAGAATTATAGAATGGTTTGGGTTGGAAAGGGCCTTAAACATATCTGTATCCAACACCCCTGCCATAGGCAGGGACACATTCCACTACACCAAGTTGCTCAGAGACCTGTCCACCCTGACCTTGAGTGTTTTCAGGGATGAGGCATCTACCACTTCTCTGGGCAACCTGGGCCAGTGTTTCACCACCTTCTGTGTAAAAAATGTCTTCCTTATCTCCAGTCTACATCCACCTTCTTTTAGTTTAAAACCATTACCCTTTGTCCTATTGCAACAGGCCATACCAAGAAGTCTTTCCCTGTCTTTTTTATAAGCCCCCCCTTAAGTACTGAAAGGAAGCAATAAGGTCTCCCTGGAGCCTTCTCTTCTATAGGTTGAACAACCCAACTCTCTCAGCCTTTCTTCATAGGAGAGGTGTTCCATTCCGCTGATCATTTTTGTGGCCTTCTTCTGGACTCTCTCTCAGCTCCTGTTCTGAGGGTTCCACAGCTGGATGCAGTACTCCAGGTGGAGTCTCACCAAAGTGAAGTAGAGGGGCAGAATCACCTCCCTCAACCTGCTGGCCACGCTGCTTTGGATGCAGCCAAGAATATGGTTGGCTTTCTGGGCTACGAGTGCACATTGCCGCCTCATGTCCATGTGGCCTTCTTCTGGACTCTCTCTCAGCTCCTGTTCTGAGGGTTCCACAGCTGGATGCAGTACTCCAGGTGGAGTCTCACCAAAGTGAAGTAGAGGGGCAGAATCACCTCCCTCAACCTGCTGGCCACGCTGCTTTGGATGCAGCCAAGAATATGGTTGGCTTTCTGGGCTACGAGTGCACATTGCCGCCTCATGTCCAGCTTTTCATCCACCAGTGCCCCCAAGTCTTTCTCGGCAGGGCTGCTCTCCATCCCTTTATCCCCCAGCCTATATTGATACCAGGAGCTGCCCCAGGCCCTGCACTTGGGCTTGTTGAACCTCATGAGGTTCACATGGGCCTATTCCATGTCCCTCTGGATGGCATCTCTTCCCATGACTGCAGCACACAGCTTGGTGTCATTAGCAAACTTGCTGAGAGTGCACTAGATCCCACTGTCTAGGTTCCCGACAAAGATATTAAACAGTGCCAGTCCCAATACTGACCCCTGAGGAACGCTGCTTGTCACTGGTTTCCACTTGGACATTGAGCCGTTGACCCCAACTCGAAGTGCAACCACCCAACAAATTCCTTATACACAGAGTGGTCATTTAACTCATTTGCTAGGATTTTTTTAACCTAAAACATAGCGATGTTAAAAAAAAAAAAATCCAACTCTTAATTCTTTTAGGAAAACAGTGGAATTTTTATTAAATGTGTCTGATTTTTATTTTAAAGATTAAGTCTTCATTTCTTGGCTTTGATGCATGAATGCAGGTTTTTAACTTCATTCATCTACTGTGTGCAGTTTCAAAAATAATTTAAAGTTGACATACTTAATATGTAATACTTTTAGAATATATGCAAAACAAGTCAGCCTATGGAATGGACCTGTAGGTAAGGTGTGTATGACCAGTAATCCTCACTGTATTCTGCTGTGTTACTGTATTGCCTCATTTCCTTCATCTTGCTATTTGGAGGAACCAGCAAAGAAACCCATCTCAGCCTGCAAAGAGGGTGAGAAAAGCAGGGAATTAACCCAAACTATCCCTGCTTAGGAGGCTAGATCAATTAAGGACAAGTACATGTTTGAGATCACAAATGTTCCATATCTAAATTTAAAGCAACGTTGAATACATTTGAACAGAGTTCACAACAGGCAAAGATTTTTTTATTTTCAAAACAAAGTCTGCTAATTGTACCTTAGACATTAGGAATGACAAAGAACATCCTTCCAACAGTTTTCTCCAATTACTTTAGATCGCACTGGATTTCTTTTTCTTCTTTCCTAGGCCCTCAAAGAAAAGGATGACCTCAAAAGTCAACTTGTCTCTGCTATACACCAAATAGAAAACCTTCGGAAAGAGCTGAATGATGTGCTTACAAAGAGAGCCCAGCAGGAAGAACTCTTGCACTGCAAAGAGGTAAAACTGAATGAAATGAAGTCTCACCAGGTATCTCTTGAAGAAGAGATCAAAGAATTTCAAGGTACTGTAAATAAATTGGAGAATGAGTTGGAAAAGCAAGTCTTTCTACAAAATCAAATGCAAGCTGAAAAGGAACACTTGGAGGCAGAACTTGCAACTAGTAACTTGATCCATAAAAAAGACCAAGACAGACTCTTAGAAATGCAAGCAGATGTAAAAAACTTATGCTCTGTACGTGTAGAACTAACAAACAGAATAGCAGAAGAGGAGAAAGTCAAAAAGGAATTACATAAGAGCCTCTCAGATCTCCAGAAACAGCAGGAGACTTCAGCTAACAGGCAGCTGAAGATGGAAAGAGAAGTTCACCAACAGGAGCTGGCAGATCTTAGATCAGAGTTACAAAATGTTAAAATCAAACATGAACAAAATGTTCAAGAGCTCATGAAACTCCTTAAAGAAGAAAAGGATGATGCAGAGGCTCAGATTAGAATGCTAAAGGTACTTATTCTGAAGAATTCCAATGTCAGACTTTTTTTTTTAACCTGTTGAGTGATGAAGGTAATAAAGTATCATCTTTAAAGCATGTAACAAACATTTTACTGCAGCTTACCATAAAAGTTTAAATTTCAGGGTAAAAAAATGTAACAGTAACAGTTTTAGGTCAAAAGCTTTCCTTAGTTCAAAAGTCATGAAATAGGTATGTCTGATCAGAAGAGAAGGAGATATATGAGGCTGTAGTGTTTTAATATGATTCGATCCTCTCTTTCAAATGTTATTTTTACAATTATTGTCACGGCCCTGTTAAAGAACTTGCAGTATTTCAGGGATGACGCATTTTTCTAAACATGTAAGTTGCATGATGCAGAAATACTGTCATTGTATCTGGAAACACTTTCAGACTGTGAATAGTGAAAATGTATATCACTTGTTAAGGTGAATTTTGATAGCTCTTTCTGTTTCAAAGAGTTTTTAGAAATTCTAACTTCTGTACAATTTCGCAGAAAATTGACTATGTTCATATAGTAAATGATGAAATACAGCATTTTATTCATGAAGAAACAAGTTAATGTCTTTAGTTTACATCATTTGCTCCTGATTCAAGGCTATCGTATTGGAAAGAAAACGAGCATTTTAGTGGCTTTAAGTGGTCTGAATAAAATTCAAAAGTTAAGTTGAAGTGGTCTAAACTGCACAATTAACTGATAACATTTGTATAAGCTATACATTGCACTTTCATTGAAGCAATTTTTATTACATGGTTAAATATATTAAAAAAGTAGTATTTTATATGTCCTAATAATTATAATGTGGGTATTTGTATTAATGGAGGCAATAGTTTTCCAGGTAGATTGTAAATTACCAACCTATATTGAGTGCACCTCTGTAGTACTATAAATACGCTTTCCATCTCAGTCCCATCAAATTAAAAATTTGGTCATGTCAAAATTCTACCAATTTAACCATAAAAAGCTATAAAACCCTTAATCAAAGCATGTGAGTCATGATCTACTTAAGGTTAAGTAATATAAATATGTTTATTGCCTTTCTCTTCTCACAAATATGCAACTAGTTAAAAATGCGTATTTTCCAGATTTTTACGTTTACGAATTGATGTTACTTAGAAAAGGATGATTAGTTATTTAATATGTCATGCATGACATAATAATTGACAACAGTTCTTAAGCACTTGATAACACAGAAATAGGAATGAAAAAAGTCTAGATGACAGTAGAAGGATCATTAAAATCAAAATGTTTTGACAGTAGTGCTTAACATTGGGGGCGTAATATGTAATGTGTCTAGCGTTATTTAAATGATCTGTCGAAATACGTATTTTTTTTCTTTGACAATGACATTGAAATTAATACTGTACATTTAATATCAAGGGGAGAGAAGGAAAGTGTTTTCTGGATGGCAGTAATCAAAAAATTAGTTGATCATCACTATCTGTTCCTCTTCTATGGAAATGTCAGTCTTACAGTAAGGGCCTTGTTATTAGTACTGATTGTTGTACCTAAACAGAATATTTGAAAAAGTAATTTCCTTCTTTCATTTATAGTGCCATGACTTTCCCAGGGTCCTTAATCTACATACCTTTTTTTTTTTTTTTTTACAACTTTGTGTCTCAGAAACAGAAGAGCAGAGGGTTTGAGGGAGATGAATTTTGTAAGCTATTAGGGTAGGCAACTTTTTTTAGCAGTACACAAAATGATAATGCACAACATTCTCTTGATTAAAAGACTGTAAGTGCAACAAAATAGATAATCATATCCATCTGTAGGAAGATCTGATGAGAACATGTCATTGTGCAGGTGATTTTGTTACTTTTTTGTGAACTCATCATTACATTGCAGTTGGGTTTCACTTTTATGGATGTACTTTTCTTCCAAATTAAGGTAAACTTAGCATTCATTTTTTCAAATTACATTTAAATATTGTGTCTTTAGGGTAGCGTTTAGGGAAATCCAACAGAAAGGTTTTTTTTTTACCTATTATCCTTTTGTTTCAGGCTGGTAAGTTTTTGTGCCCAGCCTTTTACTCTTACAGGAATAATGTTGACCTCATTTATGTCTCACCCTCATCCAACCTTTGTAACTGCTTTTGTGAAAGAATATACATAACCCTGTCCAAAGGCTGTTAAAAGTCTTGAAAATAAAGGTCAGTTGGTAGACTTGGGGTGTAAAGGGAAATTTAACACATTTATTAAGACCCAAAGCCTTAAATTTAACTAGAGAAGGAATTTTGATGAGTTACTTTCAGGAAATCAAGGGTGCAGAGCCCTGTGTTTACAGAACCAACTGCTGCATAGATTGTAAGAAGTGACTTTTGATCCTTACTGTCCTTCCTTCTCTTGCCTCTTCTGTGTGTTACTTTCTGCTTCACTCTTGTCTGGCTTTCTGTAGTGCTGGACTGGATTGAAAAATTATGAGGTAATTAAGGATTTTTTGGGGTAATAGGGGAGGTACCATAGCAATATTATATGTTGCAGGTAGAACTGGAGAAGAACATACAATTTTGTCAGAGATGTCAGTGTTGAGAAGGATCTTACTGTCTCAGTACTGAGATTCTGCTGTTTAAGCTTTTAATTCTGTTTCTGCTAGAACATCCTAAAGGATTCCCAATCAATGTCTCTATTATGTCTTTTTTTATTATTTAAAATTATAGATAAACTAGGCATAGGAAATTAAGTGCTCTGCTTAGTGGTCCCCAATCAGCTGTGTGTTCAGAAGCTCTGAATCTGTCTCCTAATTTTACTACATGACCTCATTTGCTTTAAAAATATCCTTGTTCTCTTAGAATAATGAAATACAGAATGTCCTCATGCCTGACAGCACTTCCAAGTGTTAATATTTAATGTAACATTATATAGAGATATGTATCTGTACATATAAAATTGTGTATGTATTTGTATTTTTTAAAAATTGTTTTCTATACGTATACCAGTTGCGTGTAGTTCTCTTCTCTTTTTTTTTTTCTTCTTAAGATTATCAGATATAGAAAATGGATTCAGTCCAGATCAGTTAAATTACAGTCACATCTACCTTGTCCATACTGGAAATTAATAAAAATTAACTTTCTCCATTGTGTCTCAAAGGAAATATAAGTGAGGAATTTGGTTCTTGGATTGTCTCCCATCTGCATATACATTATAATACAGTTACCTTTATTAGGAACTGGAAAGTTGATTTTTATAAGCATATTCATGGAAAATGTTTTAGGCACTGCAGGTTTGTCTTTGTGTCTGTAAGTCTTCATGGACTTAGAACACCAAAGTTCTTTCTCAGAACTGTCCTTTGGAAGGGTTTTTGTACTCTGTTAGCTCTGGTGTCTAAACTAACTTGTAAAACTTGCCTCCTTACCCTTCTTCCCCATAAAAGTTACAATTATAGTGTGATTGGGAGAATATAATTTTTACTTTTCCTCAGGAGGCAATTTACTCTGGAGGTTTATTTTTGTGTGCAACTGCATCCCACAATTCATGGACTATGAAGCTGGTTTTGAGTAATATGTGTGTAATTTCTGTCTGTTTTTTGTATTTTTTTTGCATTTTTTAGATATTTTACAGTATTCCTCAAATCTGTCAGTTTCAGTCAGTTATCTTTTCCACTGGAAACCAATATACTTTATTCACGCACCTATTTAGGGCTTTCAAGGTTCTTAAATGTTTTCTTCATTTTTCTCTGCAATGTTTCTATGGATAGCATTAAACCCACACAATTCTAGAAATTAAAAATACTGAATCTTTGCAGTTATTTCCTTACAGATATAAATTTAGTATTAGGTTCTGAACTGAAATGATAGTTTTAGACCTTCTGATTCCAAATTATTTCAGTAATGGAGAAGTTGCATAACTACTGGGCTTCTTAAGGTGATGTAAACTGATGAGTGTAGCAGAGTTGAAATTCAGAATCTGAGATTTCTGTTAACTGCTTTTAAAGCACTGTATGGTTCTACAACTCTGTGATACATGTTTTCCATGTTCAAGTAAGTGGTTGCTCTTCATATAACTTCAATGTAAAAAAGTAAATAGAATTATCCTTCCATAATAGTGTTCCACGGATTTAAAACTCTACAGTCTGGGACTGTTTTAACATAACCCATGTAGTGACTTTGCAATCTGTTTTCCCATTACCGTCAGATGGAACTTGTAGAAGAAAAAAACATAGTCAAGACTCAGTGTCGACAACTGGAGAAGATAAAAATTGAGTGTGATAAATTGACAGAAGAATTAACCCAAAATGAAGAAGAAAATAGAAAACTCAGGCGGAAATGTGAGTTTGTAAAACAAGAACTGGAGAAAAAGGTAAACTTACCTGCTTTTAACCATGATTAGTCAGTCTCTCTGCTGATAAATACCTAAAATAAATGAAGAATTGCAGGAATAGATGGTAAACTTAAAATACAAAAAGACATGTATATATTAAAGAATATACAGAGTCATACTGTAGTACACAGTTGCTATATAAGTCAAAGAAAGAAAAAGTGCTTTGGCTGAGTCATGAATTGTATCTCTCCAAAGATTTGCTAATACTATTTAGGAGTAGAAATGTAAGTCCTGTTGCCTGCCCTGTTTCTAATATAGGTAACAAATGTTTAACTAAACGCTTCTAGTTTTCTTAAAGTAGTAGTACAGTTATGAATAATTTAGAGCTAATTTGAAGTAGATAAGCAATGTAAACACAGTAAAATAAATTCTAGATAACTTGATGAAAATTATTTTCTGTTTGATTATTCAAAACATGGCAAGTTTTTAAAGCAGTTCACGTCCCTTTCTTGTACTGGCATTGTATTTCTAGAGATGTCTGCCAGCCATTCTTGTTGTCTAGTGTTCTAGTTATTAATATTTACTATAAAATATTAATTTCCAGTCTCACAACCTGGACTTGCCATCCTTTCTTTTAAAAAACTCTAGTGATAAATACTGTTTTCTTGAGTTTACTTTTTTCCCACGATTGGATCCACAGAATTGCTTTTTAATATGTTTTTCTTATGTATTTCACATTGTGCTGGTTTTATATCTTAAATTTCTCTTCCTGCAACATTGTGATTTCAGATAAGTATTTCCGTTACATGGATGAAGTTTTACCTTCTCCACTGTAAAGCACATAGCTGTCAGTATTTGATTAACCCATATTAAGACAATATTGAAAATTAATGTTTCTAATCTTGGACAAATTTGATTTCCTAGATTAACATGCAAAAAAAAAAAAATTGTGCATCCTGCAGGAAATTTCTTATACATTTTTCATTATATCCTCTTTCTTAAAAAATGGATATTTTGGCCTCTAGATGGAATTTAGTAATTTTTCATCCCTGTGAAAAGAATTTGTTTGATACAGGCATTCATACTAACATGGTACAAAATGTTTGTTCATTCAGTTCACATGGACCGCTTAGTACTCATCAGATTCTTCATTAGCTCAATAGTTTCAAACTATTTAAATCTGATGAGGCCCGTGGATATTGTAGATCCTTCATGGCTTTTTAGGTTTTTAAATTTAATTTTCAACTCCTATTTTGTTGTTATAAATGAAGTGCACAGCATCATAAGTTAAAATCTAATGGGCTTATTTTGAATATAGGTAAAGTGATTGTTTGGAAATGCTATTAGCTCCTTTTGTCATACTGCTTATGTTTGCAGCATATACTGACTGTCTGTCAGTCAGTATGCTGTGACTACTAGCCCTGAGAGAAAAATGTTGGGGTGGGGTTTTTGCTGTGGTTTTTTTTTTGTTTGGGGTTTTTTGTTTTTTTGTTTTTGTTTTTTTTTTGAAAGTATGGAAGGAGAAAATCTTAAACCTGGAATTTCTCTTAGCTTGTTAAACTAACAGGAAGTCCTTTAAAAGCTCAACTTGTCAGACTAATAAAAGGTACCTCAAATGAAAATTCAAAATGTGTTTTTTTTTCTATGTTGGGATTTTAGTGTTATAATATTTCTTTTTAAGGATATGTGTTTGTAGGAGTGTACAGTCAGTTGTAAACTAGCTCTAACCTTACATAATACTGAGAATATACAGTTTTTAGACCAAGATGATATTTTATCTCTAAGCTGAAAAAGAATGGAGAAGCTTTTAAGTGCACAGTCCTGTGGTCTCAACCTTTGAAGATAAATGCAGCTGGAGAGTTCCACTTGATTGCATTACTTGGTTAATTTAAGAGAATATAATTGTCTAACTTCACAGACTATTTACTATTGTGGTTTTATTGTGGATTGTCAGAAGGGGTGTTAGGATGGGGGAAATGATACTACCTCTTGAGAAATCTCATACTAGTTGTCATACTGTGATATTGCAGAAGCCTACTGTATTACAAAAGAATTATCGCTTTTCCTTTTCCACACTTTTTATACCTTTAATGTCATTATGGCCTTAGTGCAAATACTAATTCAAAGAAACATAGGTATTATAGGTAGCTTGGGTTTAAATTTTTTTCTCATGAAATGTGAAGGAGCAAAGAATAATAGTAAAATTTTCTGTTTCTTTTCCTTCTGTGCACTTCTGCATTATCAGTGACTTCATTTCTCCTGTAGTCTCTGAAAGTAGAATGTTGAGGAATGTTGGCACACTCGGAAAATCAAGCAGATGAAAAATAAAGGGAAAAAGTACTGAGCTATATATTGTCTCTTAGTTATGGTCTTTGGGAGTGAACTTTAGCATGTGATGGACTGCGTTCACTGAAGTTTAAAATAGCTACCATCTAACTCAAGTATTTTCCATGAGTTAAATTAAAAAATCAGGCTGCTTATCAGGTATGACTTTTTCACAACTGAAGGTCACCTGTATTAAAAAACACCTATTCTGCTAATAGATGTAACACCTACACATATATATGTACACAACCTTCTGAAAGGTTATATATGTGTATACATTTATATGTATATAACTTGAAAGGACGTTGTAGCGAGGTGGCTGTAGGTCTTTTCTCCCAAGTAGGAAGTGATAGGAGAAGAGGAAATGGCATCAAATTGAGCCAGGGGAGGTTTAGCTTGGATATTAGGGAAAATCTCTTCACTGAAAGGTTTGTCAAGCATTGGAACAGGCTGCCCGGATAAGTGGTCGAGTCACCATACCTGGAGGTATTTAAAAGAGGTGTACCACAGAATCACTAAGGTTGGAAAGGACCTTCAAGATTATCAAGTCCAACCATTAACCCAGCACCACCATGCCCCCTAAACCATGTCCCGAAGCGCCACATCATCACGTTTTATGAATACTTCCAGAGACGGTGACTCCACC